AAACTTCAAACCCTAAACCCTACACCAGGCAGGCTTGTGTGATGGTGAGGGCACCTGACTAGCTGTTTCACGTGCAAATGACCCAGACGACAGTCCGTCCTACCATTAACTCCTACCATAGAAGGGTTACCCCTAAACCCTAAACCCTCAACCCTAAACCTAAACCCTAAGCAGACAGAGGTAGAATGGACAATAGTATGGAAGCTACGATCGTGCTCAGGTTTTGGGGTAAAGGGTTTTGGGTTTAGAGCCCTACCGGCAGTAATGATTCTTCTAGGAATATATATATATATGTATGTATATAATGGTGGAAAAGCAGATAAAGGCTTCAAATTCGGCTGGGGTTTAGGGTTGGGGGGCCTGTGTCATGGGACCAGTGGAGAATCAAAAGCGAAAGGACACGGAGAATAAAGTGCAACTTGGGCTTATATTGCGGCTTACATTCTACATGTGGAGGTAGCCAATGCTGGGCACAGAAATTGTGTGAGGCAGGGTATGGACTTGCTTCTGCTCGGAAGGTTGAAATATGTTGGCGAGCCTGTGCATACACACATATATATATATATATATCTACGCATCTTGTATACGTTGGGTGTTTTTTCTTTGCATGTGCAATCATTCTGTGCCAGGAGCTTTAGGGGGTTTGAAGGCTTTGATGAGGACGGTAAACGGCGCAGATTAATTGGAGCAGTCTCCATGTCATGCAATTTGATTCGGCTCCTACCCAGTAATTAATGCAGGAGCAGGTGCAATTACTTTATCCCTTGTGCTCACTAGCAGTGGGTGGGGGCCTAACCTACTAACCCTACACCCTAAATAACCCTAAACCCGCATTCTACTGGCTTGCAGTTAAGGAGCTTCAACTAGGTTACTGTAACAGGGAAACCTTATTACTCACTTTATACTCATCTTATGGTAATTGAATTTGAGTTCCTCAGCAGCAATCCAGTCTACTCACGTTTCGAGATTCAGCCAAGATATCCTCCCCCAAAGTAACATGGAGCCCCAGGTAGCCCCCATTGGAAAACCCTACACCTTTAGCCCTAAGGAGATCAGTCTTCGTATCTCTTTCCTGGGGGTTTCTTATGTTAGCTCGTGGGAGAGTAAGCTTGCAGCCTCAGTTTTTCTGGAAAGATGCATTTCGGAGAGCTTTCTGTAACTGGAACTTCCGCGCCCCAGGACGGGTCGTATTTCTACCGCGCAGGTCCCCAAATCTAAGGTCAGAGGTATGGGCCCCTAGTATGAGCCTTTAGGCCTTCTAGGTGGATTCTAGAGACCCTCAAGGGTACATACAGGGTATATAGTAGGTATATAAGGATCCCAAGGTTAAGGGCCCATACCAGGGGCCCATGGTTTCAACCTTAGATCAAAGGCAAACCTCCAACGGAGTGCCACGCTCCTTTAAAGAGGTTTTAGGGTTTCTAGGTACCCCAGTAGTACCCTTTTACCCTTTTTGTTTGGGGGTATCCTTATTAAAGCAGAACAGTAGCAAAAAGGGTATCCTTATTATGTAGGGTTTACTGGGGAACCTAGGTTTAGGGCTTGGGGTTCATGGTTTAAGGTTTTCAGACCGGGATCAGTCCACCACACCCCTATTATGTAATGATAGATTCCATTATTCCCTGCTAACCCTCCTAAACCCTAAACCTTAAGACCTAAACCTCAAACCCTATAATATTCCCACATGTCCTACTAACCCCTCAAGTAAGTTGTTGGCATTGCAAGGTTGCACGTGAAGCGTCGACAGCCCCGTGGCCATTGCAGGCTTGTTCCTTGTAGATTATTATCAGTACTTAGGGTTTGGGGACTGGGTGTGTCTTTTGGGTTTTAAAATATTTTGTAAATTTGAAGTTTTCAAATTAAGAAAATTTGGGACCCTAAGTAATGGTGAGTTTATATGGGCTTGAGGGTTTAGAGGTCAGGGTTTAGGGTTTGGTGGGGGGTTTGGGGTTTAGGGATTAGGCTAGACCCGATCAGAGCTTATCCTGGAAGCAATATAAAAAGACGTGAAGTTTGTACCGAAATGCACAATTTTCAAAAGCTATCTGGATTCCATGGTATAGGCACCCAAACCCCAGGGTACAAGCCCTCAGAGCACAAAGGACAACTCCCTGATAATAGCAGTTGGCATAGCACCTCAAACAGAAGCTGGCCTCTTTTTGCTCAGGCATTTTCGCTGGACGCATAATGCCGACTACCGTCAGCAGCACTTTCATTGCACCAGACCCAATCCCATGTGCGAATTATTCAAGATATAGTCCCCCTTAAGTAGATAGAATATGGGGTAGATGGGGTTCTTATTACAATATGCCCGAAGCCAGATTCTATCTACTTAAGGGTGATTATAATCCCTTATAACCCCTGTGAATCGCGAAGCTCCGATGTGTGAAGAGGCGTTTGTCCTTGTTCTGGCGTTGGGGCTTGCCAAGCTGCATCCCGGCTGATATGTAGGGTTTAGGGTTTAGGGTTAGTCATATACGAGTTGCACATAGTTACAGATATTACGCCAAGAATAGGGAACCAGATGGAAAAGGACAACTGGTTTATAGATTATGTAGATATGGGAGTTGTTCAAACGGCGGCCCTAGAGACCCCCAGGATCTGCAGGGATTATGAACGAATCATAGGGTTACCTTTAAGATATTATATCGGGATATTTGCGAGAAACTCCCACGCAACCCCGTAAACCCTCAACCCTAAACCCTTACTTGTCCGACCTTGTGTTTCATCCAGCAGACATTGCTGTTTTCGAAAAAGTCTTTCATTTCTGCTGATCTCTGCAAGCAGGTCCCAAGTTACACTGTAGGCATCCGCTGTCCGACAGCCAGCAATCCCAAATTCCATTTCATTTTCGATTGTTGTTTCCATAGAAAGTTTTGAAAGTCCCGCAGGCCTAAACTGTATATGGTAGTTTCTCAAAATAGGGGGACCCCAATTACCCCAATAAAGACCCCAATATACTATAGTCCAGGGACCCCCCAAAAAGGTACCCCTAATTTTGGGAAGTCCCCATATGTATACTGTACCATCCTACAGAGCCGCTATATCCATTCAGCTGGCTCTGGGCGCCACCGTCTCCTGACCCATCCAGCCCAGCCCTCCACGCGCGTGCTACCTCTAATCCCCTCCCCTACTTGAAAAAATCTAAACCTGCCACCCCTCTCACGATACATTCTCCCCAAATCACATACTAGCACTACATTGGGGAGTTTACTGTATGGGGGGTTGGGGGCATAATTGAAGGGTTTTGCGAAGGCTCAGGGGTGGTTCCTGATTCTGTCGCTCCAGCGCCAAAAAAAGCTTACGAATCAGAAGCCACGTATGGAGAAGTGTGCCGTGTGATGGGAAAAACCGCAACCCAAGCAGTTCAGACTCGTAGATCCTAAGCCCCTACCCAGACCTCTGGGAGTCTAGATGGTAGAGCCCCCCTTATGGTGGGGAGACAAGGAGGTGTCATCAGTTGAGTTCATTCCAGAAGTTATTACTGTAAGCCTTTAAGAACCCGTAGATGAAGCATTGGAAAGAGAAGTTACAACTCATTAAAACGGGTTCCATGGAATCAAAGGTCATTCGTCAGTGGTTTCTATCTCCTTGTCATATAGCTCTTCATAGTCAGTCAGTTGGTATTCTTATGACTTAATTCACTAGATTGTTTCACTCCTTTATTTGACTGAATCTTTAATTCATTCCTTTGGTTCACTCCCTTCGTGTGCCTCTTTTAACTAATGAGCAAAGCGAAGTCCACGAAGTGAACTAAATCACTATTGGGTAATTTGTAGGAACACCCTAAACCCTAAACCCTAAACCCTAAACGCCCAGGCGTCTGCGTAGAAGGCGCTCCGCTCCCTCACTCGCCTAAGAACACCCCTGAAACTTGCGCATGTATTGTTTGGACAGGGTTACATAGCCACACGGTTTAGGGTTTAGGGTTTAGGGTTACATATGATTGTATGGTGACTGCTACAATATACAGGGGGCCCCAACGTAGACCCAATTAAATCATGTGAATTTTGTTTCTTATGATGGGGGCCCGCAAATAGGGAGCTTCTTCGTTTGGAAACCCACATATGATGCACCACTTAAGAATCCCAGTATCCAGTTCATCTTCCGTTGTTTTGTCCCTCAGTTTTTTGGCAAATGCCCCTATAATTGTTGAAGCCCTAATCCATAAATACCGTCACCCATATGCCATATACCCCTGCATAAATCCCCGTGTATTCCCCCTTAAAACAGAAAATGCCCCCACTCCCACCTCAGCATGGTTAAGACAAGTCAGGTCCCGGATTCTGGCACAGCTCCCTTCCGCCTGCTGCAGCTTCGACGACATGACGTGGTTTCAGGTTTAGGTTGAGTTTAGGGAATCTACATAGGGTTTATAGAGACAGTTTAGGATGTTGGATCTAGGGTGTACCTAAACCCAAAAAGTATGTAAAATAATCGCCCTAAAACTGCAAATAATGGCCATAGAGCCGCCCATTATTTTACATACTTTGGGGGTCCAGGTAGGGCTAAAGGCTCATGATTGAGGTTTTGGATTTGGGGTCTTGGGTTGATAGTAGAGAGAAAGAGGTAGTTTTCGGCTACTCAAGGGGAGCCTCGGCGGGGGTATAGGGGACCCCATGTGAGCCATAGTCTGAAATCCTTAAACACAGGAAAAATAGAGGAAGGGAACTACTATAGGGGTTATTAAGGGAGATACCAGGAATTTAGACCATGGCTCGTGTTTGTTCGGTTCAAATCTTTAGGTGTCTCGGAGGTTGATCGAAAGGATCCCAAGCTGTTGCTTCGGCTCATTGTACCAGGACAAGGGGGCCCCTAAACCCTAAACCCCTAAACCCTTAACTGGTTGTCATCAGAAAATGGAGGTATTGAGCCCTATCGTAGTCCAGTGTAATCCACTGCAATACCGCTGTTTCTGCTTTCTTGTCCACTTCTCCCATTGCCTCATTCCCGACTACCAGCTAGCAAGTCAGTGCAAAACGGCTTTTGCCGCTCCGCAGCTGCCGGCTAAAGGAACTTCTGTAGCTGTCAGTACCGCAGCATCTATGGGCAGCGGGGCATCCTCGAAGCTTGTGGAAGGTGTGAAGGGGGCTAGCCAAGAAGAGCTCAAGGACTCCGTCAAGGATCTGTCTGCGCAGGAACGAACCAGGATCCTATCCGCAATTGCGATGGTGGAGTTGTCCGGAGCCTACAGGGCGTCTGCCAGTGACGGCGACTGGGGAGACTATGACATCACGATCACATTCAAGAGCGCTTCAGAAGCCACGGTCAAGGTGTCAAATGTCTGCTTTAGGGACAGCCCAGGTGACCACAATCTCTATGAGGGCAGCTTCAGCGTGGCAGGCGACATTGTGACTTTCACCTCCTCCAAGGTCACCGATGAAGTGGCCAATAAAACGGAAGAGAAAGTCGAGACCATGAAGTTCAAGATTCAGTCTGATGGTTCCCTTGCCAAAGTTGCGGAGGATGGCAGCATTGAGGAAATCCAAGGGGGCTACGCAGGAGAGAAAGTCCCAGCCATCCTGAAGAAACAACCGAGCAAATAAATGAGCCATAAACTGGGTTGCTGTTTTTCGGAATCTACAACAACTTGCCATATTATTATTGTTATTACTAGTATTGTTTTCCTATAGTATTATTATTATGTTGAGAATTATTGTTTATGATGGGTATTCAGTAAACAATGGGGTTTCACCAACCCAGTAAATCAGTCCTTCTGCGGAGCCTGCCCCTGCAAATAGCACCGAGCAGCCTCCGCCGACACTGACGCTCGGCTCAAAGAAGCCCGGAGGAAAATGGAGGTGCCAGGTTGTGCACGTGCTTCGCTGTGGTGGGATTCCGGGAAGTTCCCTGCAGAAGGGACTCTTCCTGTGGTGCTGAGTTCACGGTCCCAACTCAAGATTCGTATGAAAGTTTCTTAAAGCAGTCCGGGAGCAGCCCTTATCATGAGCCCCCGTGCAACATCCGAGGCAAGCGCCCGGGCTGGTTGACTGAAGGCAAGGCAGATCAACTTCGTCAGGGCGGTCAGGGGCGGTTCTACGTGTTAAGGGCTTGGGACGCAGGAGCTTTAGTTTTTAGAGCTCCTTCTGCTCATTTCTGCACGCAACCTTTTCGCCATTTTTACAGGCTTGAGCGTCAAAGTCTGTCCCGCAAGCCAACGTACCGATTTTGCAAAGGTTCCTTCGGATGCCCCAGCTTCATCTAGACCGACTGGAGCCGTCGTGTTTCAGCAGTGTATTGATTCAGGTCGTTGTTGCATTGTTGCTTCATGTTGCTCTCTGATGGTGCTTTGAAGTCAGCAGTCCTCATGAAAACTATCACTGTAAATTGCTACTGCTCTCGTCTTTGCACGGGAAGAGATCGGCGTATCTCTGTGCCTTTGGCTAAGCAATTCCTACTACGCGCAACGAGCCAGAAGTAAGACGGAGTATGTGGCAGACGGGCCTCCTAACAGGAACCTCGATCTTGGACACAGTTGGACACACCCTCTTGTGAGTTTCCCCCGGGCGCTGTCTGGTCCTCCTCCCAAATACCAAAACTCGATACTTGAAATTTGAACCCGACACCGTACACCTTCAACTTCATCTGAGCTATAGTCTACACTCCTAGCATTCCCCTTTATGACCCCCGAATGCTCCCCTATGTAATCCCCCATTATAACCACCCTTAAAGAGTTTAGACTCTAAACCCTAAACCGTAAATAAACAGATATGTATATCTTTATATACGCTCGCCCATAAACATATATATATATATAACATCCCCCCGTAAGGAGTGTAGACTATAGCCGATCTAGGGTCCTTGCGGCCAGGTGCCAGCAGGATCTTGCGCTATCTTGGCTGCCTCCTTCCTGTTTTGGCCTTGCTGCATCCAGGAGGCCGCTATTGGGAAGGAGGAATGCGGTGAGGGTGATGTATGTATATTTATATATATATATAGGATATATGGGGATTGTATGGGGTTATATAGGGTTCTATGAGCTATAGTCTCAACTCCTTAAAGGGGGTTATATGAGGAATTATACAGGGAAGTATAATAGGGGATATTCAGGGGGATGCTAGGAGTTTAGACCATAGCTTGTATTGGGAAGGATGAATGCGGCGAGGGGATTGATGTCTTCAGGGCTTCCGTTTTGGCGGGATTTGGAGGGTTTAGGATTCAGGGGCAGGAGTACTCAGGGCTTGGGATTAGGTTCTGGGTTGCCTTTAGCGTTTACGGTTTAGGGTTCAGGGCATGTTAGAATTCTGCAACTTGGAGCGTGCCGTGGATTGGGGAGGCCTGAATCACGCTTGTGCATGAACAGATCATGGCTGGTGAATTTTGGTTTGTATGACCCTATTGTCCCCCTTAGGCACGTAGATAGAATATGGCTTTGGGTATGTTATAATAAGATCCCCTACTTAAGGGGGACTATAAACCCTAAAGCCTAAACCTTCTGGAAGAGGTTTTGCCCCGTAGTTTGCCGCCTTCCGACATTCTTCTTTCGGGGGTCCTCGTGCAGGCAGTACTGTACCAACTTTGGGAGGCGTCCTTTTGCACTCCTTTGTTGTAAGCTTCCATATTGTTTTTTTCCATCTTTCTCCCAAAGCCTGGTAGTAACTGCTAGTGCGGGCCCGAAACCCTAAACCCTAAACGGGAAAGGATGGGCTTTGGCAGGGACCTCTCATGACCCCCGTTTCGAAATGGTGACTCTCAACACTCCATTTGGGCTGCATGCATGCCCAACTGGCAACACACTAGGGTTGCCTGCCGGCGTAGAAAAGCGGTTATAATAGGTTATATAGGGGTTATATAAGGATAAGGGAAAAGAACATGGAAACTACTATTAGAATAGGGTGGATATACATATAGATATAACGGCGTACAAAAAGCAAAAGGGAAACAACACCTGACCGAGCAGAGGGCAGCAGAAGGACTGCACATCTTGGTGTCCTTGACTTAATCTTCATGGCATGGCAGGCGGTAAATCCTCAACCCTACCTCTATATAATCCTTATTTAATCCCTGTATGACCTTTATCTAAGCCCTATACAACCCCTGTGTAAGCCCTATATAACCCCAGGGCTGCGCTCTTTGGCCACAGAGGTTGCCTGCTGCTGTTGCTTATCACTGCCATGGCCGGGGTCTCAGTGCCACGGTGGATACCACAAGTGCTGCATGACCCCAAGTATCCCAAACCTTGGGAATGATGGTACTATGAATAGTGCCCCTGAAGTAGATAGAATCTGGGGAATCTGGGGATCTTATTATAACATACCCAAAGCCATATTCTATCTACTTAAGGGGGACTATAATACATTAAAGTCATGAGGGTTTTTTTCGTATCAGCAGCATGAGTAGCAGCCCGGCTACAATCTACTCGCGCTATCCAATCTTGAGGTGTCTGAGATGCAGCAAAATGATTCAGCTAGCTTGTGGTGAGTCTTCCTACCACAATTTACATTGCTTTCAGCTCCAGCACTGTCTGGGGTGTTAGAGGGGGTTTCTACCGGGACAAGTACCAATATTGTGGTCCTGGTTCCCTTGTACAGTTGATGTATGGTATAGGGTACTTCATACTCTGCACCTCAAAATGATATTGATAATTACTTAGGCTCCTACTGTACGTACTTGGTTGGCCAAGTGAGTGGAATGTAGAGCACAGGCGGCTTTGAATCCGCAGAAATCCGATACAGGTACTTTGGGAAGAGCGCAGGCTTGTGTAAGGGCATGTGCTCGTAGCTACTCTGTGTCAAGTGAGCCGACGTCAAAAGCTGTTTTGCTGAGTCGGGAAACATGGCGCCTTTCAGTGCAACAGAATTCTTGTTTGACCTGGAGTCGCCCGTTGTGCTGGCCAAGGCGAAGGAGCACAAGCCAGCTCTTGCCATCGAGGACGAGCACACCGTCCTCGAGATCATCGTTATTTGCATCTGGGACTTGCTCACGCCTGCGTGCTAATGCAAGATTCATGCATTGACACTCCACCGCTTGTGACACGTTATCGGGGATGGCTGTGGAGATTGCATCCTGTTCGAATGCCAAAGCATCCAGAGCTATTGAAAACGGGAGCGTGCGAGATGGAAGAGATGGACCCCGAGGATCATGACGACTCCCAGATCCAAGCTCCATGTGCGCGCAAGACGGTGGGAGATGCAAACTACTTGATGCGCAAGAGCTTCCCTACTTCCCATGGCATGGAGGCATGCAGGAGAACCCGCCCGGCAGCCCATCAAGAGAAGATCCCAAAGGAAAGGAAAGTCAAGGAAGACTTGCTCCATGACATGGTCACGCCATCCAGCCAGGGAATTGCGCCGAGGACAACACTGCCAGAACCACAGGATCACAAGGTGCAGGCGAGCAAGCAGCGGTTGAGATTGAGGACATTTCTGATTTCGCGCTCGAGCGGACCACTAAGCCACTTGGGTCATTTGAGTAGCCTGAGTAGCCTGCGCTGCGACATGGGCGACGTGGCAACGATACGAGGATGCAAGGCAATGGAGTCCATCTCGTTGGTTGCCGCGTGCAAAACCTCCAGCACGCTGCACGGCATGGCCATGGCGTGTGGCCTCCAGGGCCAATTGGCCGTGAGCCCAAGAAGCTCTCTGCATAGAGCGCGCGGAAAAGGATTTTGCTGACAAGTGGGAGGCAGCTGACCAAGAAGAGGTAGGAGCGCCCTGAGTGCCAAAGATATTTGGCCGCGGAAGCCCACTGCTGAGACAAATGGGCTGTGTACGGCAGCAAGGACCGTTGTGGAGGTAAGGTCTACGGATCGGGTGGCTGCCAGTGTGGTGAGTTAGTGAATCTCCGGTTGGTTGTTGAAGAAGGCGTGCCATGCGATAGGGGAGAAGCGCCGCTTGAAAAAAGAGCCACATGTCTCCACCAACACGCAACCACGTCTTTGGCTTTGACTGAAGCTGGCAGGGCTATTTTCTTGTCAGATTTTGCGAGCTTGAATGACAGTACCTCAAAACTCCAGGCAATTTAAGGCATGAAGTGGTTGAAGTCTTTGAATCGCATTGGCTGCTTGCTAGCCAGCTGAAAGAACCTCAGGATCGCCAATGCTGAATGGAGTTTGTGCAATCTTGCAGTTGGACTATGCAAGGTCAAAGGCGGAGTTTACAGAAGGAAAAAAGGCTGTAACCAAGCAATCAGACCACGGTTCCATGATCGAGGCATGGGTTTCAATCCAGCAACTTACTCAGCCGAATATCATTGACCTTCAAACCGGAACCTTGATTCTGATTTGCGATGTGCTGGTACACACACACACACACGCACACGCAGTTGTGGTATCGTGTGGCTATTCATCGATAAGTTTCTGGAATTTCATCAAGGAAACGGAGCAATCTCCTGCCTTGACCAGGTTCTCGTGACCATAACCCCACCTGAGGACCCAGCGAAGGTGGGGGGATGTGGGGCGGGCAGGTTCCCGAAGCAAAGGATGCATGTTTATGTGGCTATAATTGGCAAGGGGATTTTTTGCGAAGCGTATAGCCGGAGCGGACCCCAAGCGTATAGCCGGAGCGGACCCCAGTTTTGACAACAAGCCATTTTTCAACCGTTTTTTTCCTGCCACTGGAGTGTGAAACCCAATCGACGGTAGTTGCGATGCACAGCCTTGTTACCGCTTGCATCTGATTGCGTGATCACCTATAAATGACGAATGGCTTTGTCACATCAGCACTCAGCGTCGTGGTCCAAGCAGTTCTTACCTTATCCCGAATAAGGGCTTAGCATAGTAGTTTCCTTTTTATCTTCCATTATCCTTATATAACCCCGATATTATACCCGTATTATGATAACCCCGATATAGCCCTATGAAAATATCGTAGGTTCCATTTTCTTTTCCATTATTCTTCTGCCCCCTACCGTGTCGTAATTTCTATTATCATTATTATTGGTATTGCTGTTGCCAGTATCACAATTGGGCGAATGAAAGTCGAAATAAGAATGTGGCACCCGCTTTTGCCCTTTATCATGGACTTATCCTTTTTCGGCCGTTGTCATGGACATTCTTTTGCCAATGGCTTCAAGATCATCTGCTGTTTCGACATGGCTTCGCGTGAATTCCGACATGTCTTGCATGCGTCGCTCATCATTTGCCAGCGTGGAGAAAGACCGATTTGAGAACAAACCATCGTGACGCTTACGCGTCCTGTTGGGAGTGGTACAGTAGTGACGTGGTAGTGCAGAGATTGTAGAGTAACTTCCCATACCCCGCTGTTTTCCCCATAAAATCCCAATGTCTCCTCGGCAGGCGCCTTTGCTGGGTCTCACATCTGTGCTTCTGGGGCCTATGCTGCTGCAAGCCGCCCAGTTCCTCTATGTCGGGATTGTATAGGGACTATATATGAGGGTAATAACCCAGACCCGTGATTAACAAACCCCTTTCCCTTAACAGGGATTATAATAGGGATTCAATATTAAGGCCCTTAAATGGAGCGGGTTTATCATTTTGGGGTTGTATAGGGAGTTTATGGGGACTAAAGGGGGTCATATAGTGGATATATAGGGTTATAAAGGGCATAGGGATATATAATTAATAGTAGTTTCATAGTTTTCGGTAGAGAAGAAGAACATGGCTGAACATGGTTGTTTTCAGCAATTCAGGTGAATATTCTGTACCGTCAGACATTATAACTCAGGGGACCCCCACACAGACCCCCAAATACTTCAATGGTTGTTAAGAAGCCATTCCTGAATCTACCCCAATTGGTAACTGTCTTGGGGGTTTGAGATTTAGGGTTTAGGAGTGGCACGTTATTATCAAATAGAAGGATCTTCTCCACCCCCATGCTCCACCTAATGTATATATACATATGTAGAAATATGTCTATAAATATTTATACGTATATGTAATGGCAATGTAATGGTATTATCTGATAATCGGGGCTGGGGTCTTTAGTGCCAGGGTAAGGGGGTTAGTTGGGATCTGATCAAGGATACGAGTTTGTTTCCCATGGATGTTGGACAAATCCCCAGCCACCACGCAACTTGCAATCCATGTCAAGCCCTTGAGGTGCCATTTGCAATCTCTCATTTTCGCAGTCGAGCGCTCAGATTTCAGACCCTGAATGCAGCTCCTGATATTCCCACATAGCAGAGGCAGTTGGCAGTTCTCGGTCAGTTTGAGGTTGATTCGCCTGAAGGGACACGGTTTTCCCCTGGACGTTTCAACTAGTTCCGCCATCGCATCATTGAGATGTATTTTCTGCGCAATCAGCCATAGTCCCCCTTAAGTAGATAGAATATGGGGTACATGGGGATCTTATTATAATATACCTAAAACCAAATTCTATCTACTTGAGGGGGACTATTACCAGGAGACCATTTTGGGCATCATGAGGTGTCAAGATGGGGGTCCCTATTTGGGTCCCTTGTATAATACGGCCCCTACTATTCAGGGTTTAGGGTTTAGGGTCCAGTGCCCGAAGAAGACAACATTTCTTGACAACTTTCCGTAATCAAGTAGATTTGTAAAGCCCTGCTCACCTCAAGCAGCCCTTCCCAAAAAATGACTCGAGTGGGTAGAGGACAGTTCTCTGACGACCACTGGGAACAGTAGTCCCCTTAAATGAACTTGGCCTTTTCTGGGCAGCGGCATGGTGTGGGGAAGTTACAGTAAAATCCTAAGGAGAACAGGATCCTTCGACTTCCCCTAGCGACAGGCCCCGAATGTTGCGTACACTTCTACAGCCGCGCTGGTAATCAAGTGGGCTACTTTCAATATTAGGGTTACCAAGGGACCCTCAAGGGTGGACATGGGGTCCCTCTGGTAGTTTAACATAGTGCCCATAATATTCCCTAATAAAAAGGACCCATGTCCATGAGTAATGTGGGAACTATTCACTGTAGCTTTCATGGGGTACGTAGAAGGTTTGGATCCTGGTGGGGAAGCGGCGTCAAGCTTCCGTGCCTCACTTGCAGCCAGGACCTCGGTGTGCAAAGACTTCCAATCAACCTTCACATGAAATGAGTCCTAGTCTAAACTCCTTAAAGGGGGGTTCTATAGGGGATTACTATAGGGGATATTAAGGGGGATACAATGGCTCAAATGAGAGTTTTCCCAAATTAGGGGTGCCATTTTTGGGGTCCCTATTATAAGTGTCTATATGGGTGTCCTCCTATTGAGGGAACCTACCAAATCGCGAGAATTTTGACTGCAGCTCACATCCTAAAGAAATTCGTCTCCAGCCCCCCTCGTTCTCGAGCTTCCGTACCCCGGTCCACAAGCTTGACATACCTGGACCCCAAAAGTATGTAAATAATGGCCTTTATGGCTATTATTAGGGGTTTAGGGCTGTGATTTTACATAGTTTTGGGGTTTAGGTACTGACCAAGCTACCTAAGTATGGTTTTCATGAGTAATGTCTCTCTCTCTCTCTCTCTATGTTCATCTTTCTGCAATTCTGCAGCTTTGCTTTGTAAGGGGCCGAAGTTTGAAAGCCTTAGCTTATTTGCTTGCTCGGCGAAGCCTGCATCCTCTTCTTATGGGTTCCTCAATGAGTCCAATACCGACTCCGCTATGGCAGCTGTCAAGCTTTTGGCATCAATTTTTGGAGGTTCATGGGTAACAAACAGATTGAAAAGCTTGTGAAACTCCATCCCGGCAACCCCAAACCTTGGCTCATTCCCGCTTACGGTAACGGTCTGTAAAGGGATGCTATTGTGGCAGCTGTAACTTTAAGGGGGATTGACCCAACATAAGCCTTGGAATCTTGGTAGTTTCCCAGACTATACCGGGGCCCCAAAACCCTAAACCCCCGCTTCACCCTCGCAGCTTGGGGCAGGGTGGACTTCGACGACCATTTCCCCTCCTCGCCGCACGCTCCCTCGCCCTGGGTGGCTTTGCTGGAACTTGAGGGTTACCCTGTTACCCTAAACCCTTTTAGGGTTTAGAGTTTAGGATGGCTTACTAGTCTTAGGGATCCTTTTCGTATGCTCTGTGCAGCGGTTACCTCATGCGATAACGCTGGGGGTAGCCCACTGAGAAGTATGCGCTTTATATGTTTTGGGGTATGGGATCCCTTTTTTACAAGGATCCTTTTTCTTCCTAGGCTAATGTGGGCTAAGTTTAGGGGTCTTTAGGGGATTTAGGGTTCTTTACGGTTTAGGGTTCATAGGGTTCAGGGAGTACCGGGTTTTGTTGAGGATGGATCACCTCCCCTTGGCATCAAAGACACCCCCAACGCCCAACTCTGAAACATGCCCGATTGTTCCCCAAATCTCTTACTTGCCTTTCTGGGCTAGGGGATGTTTCTCCACGTTGGGGGAAATATCGCGTACGGTTGGACATAAGGCTGTACAAGTCTATGGATGATTCTCGGATTCACTAAACCCTAAACCCTATGTGACCCATTATAGTAGCTTCCATTTTATTTTCCATTATCCCGATATACGCAGTATCTTTGAGGCCTAGGATTTTGGGATCAAATGGCCAGACTGAGGGTTGTCAAGCGCAATGCATTCTCGTTAGGCCTTCTTGTTGTTTGGGGCAAGCTGATCCTGGGGTAGTTTTACTTACCTCTGGCTAGCTGGAATGAAGGAGTGAAAAAGAACGCGGAAACTACTACAATGGGTTAGGTAGGGACTACTGACTACCAGAAGGATCCATTCCTTCATTGCTAGCGAAACCCTAAACCCTCAACCCTAAACCCTAAACCCTAAACCAAGTCCGACAGTTCATTGCTTCGAATTTGCTTCGGTCTTCTTTAGATGTGCAGGACTTAGGGTCAGGGTTTAGGGTTTAGGGTTTCGTTTGACCATGGCTTTGCTGCGGTTAGTCTGTCACTCCAGGGTGTGCGTAGCCTTTCGGGCCTTGAGCCTGGCATACCTAAAACCCCAAAAGTATGTAAAATAATAGCCCTAAACACCTCCCCCCCAAAAAAACCCTAAACCCCAAACCCTAAACCATAAACCCCTAAACCCTAAACCCCTAAACCCATTATTCTACATACTTTTTGGGTCCAGGTACTCAGCGAGGCATAAGGCTTCGGGCTTTGTATTTAGGGTAAGAACCCTTTGATTAAGATGGCCATGGGTTGGGTCATTCCCTCTCCCAGTAACTGTCCTTAAAGGGGCCTTATTAAGGGGGTTCTTATAACTCCTATAACCCATTGTAGTAGCAGTTACTGTAAGGGGGAATGACCCAAGCCATGGGTTTTGTGCCAAACCTGCAGGCATTTGCTGGGCATGGTAGGGAATCAGAACCGTGAGGTCACGTTGGGACAGGGATTTCGATGTTGTTCCAAACTCTGAACCTCAGACTTCTGATGACTTCTGTACACCCTAAACCCTAAACCCTAAATAGTAGTTTCCATCTTATTCTCCATTCTCCCAATATAATCCCAATAACCCTAGAATTACTTGAAGCCTGAACCCCAGGCCCGGCACCCAAGCGCTCACCTGTAAACTCATCCTCCAGGCAGCTGGGTAGGCCCCTGCGATATTTGAGATTTTCCCTAATGGCTTTAGTAAGCGACCCTGAAACCCTAAACCCTAAACCCTAACATTTTTCAATGGGTTTTAGGGGCCAGCCCAGGCAGATGCCATTTTCAACTTCCGGGCACAGTGGTCGCCAGTGCCGCCCGCAGCGGCACTCAGTTGCGTGTTGCACACAAGGATCCTCCCTGGAAAGTGTAGGAAGGGAATGCAGGAGTCCTTGGTGGTAGGATTCCTGTGCTTATCTAGTCTGTGGGCTTCGGGTCCTCGAGTTCCTTCGTAGATACCAAAATTACAACAGGTTGTTGGTTTCTTGCGAGTATGCGCCCCTGCTGGGGTGTAGATGTCTTTCTGGGGCTCTTTGGAACAACGTCCCCGCCGCCCTCCTGGAGTGGCGGGAGGCTCTGGTGATCTCTAGTGATGATGGCATGGTCTATCCATGGTCCATGTGTTGTGGACTCTAGCTGCGGATATAGGTTGACTTCTCTTCCCCCGCTGTGGCGTTCGTTCAACAGGGCTTTGGATGGATCAAGCTTCCTCACATCAAAGTTCTTCCGCGCAAGCAGAACAGGTAACAGGCTACAACTCAGACAACACGCAATGCGACCACCTCTGAGACTGTTGGCGCCTTCAAGCCCTTGCGACAAGATGGACTGAATCTAGGCGCTTGCTCCTTACCCAGTGTTCTCATGAACTCATGAGGCCTGCGAAATCCTTCCAAAACTGTCTGGAAGCCTTGGAATGAAAGCTCTTACTTGCCAGATACCCTCTGCTATCACTGTCTCGAAGTCTTGAGACGGTCCAATGGGGCTACTATGGTACCCAATATTACCCCAACAATGGAGAATCAAATGGAAAAGAACATGGAAAATGAAATGGAAGCTGGGATTATATATGAAGCAAAGAAAGAGTGGGCCAAGACCGTCTTCAAGTCTTCACTGAAGCAACGTGTAAGGGCATCTGTTATCAGAAGTTGCTTCCATGTGGGGACTTGCCTAAATTCACGATAATACGGGTCTCTATTCCGGGGTTCCTGTATGGACGCCGCCCAACAAAGGGGTGCTTAACTCTTTGATTGAGTTCAACATGGCGCAGATTCGATTCCCAGTTTCAATTATGGTGTAAGGCTTATGGTTTATGTCCATCCCGCCTTAGTGGTTTTCACGGGAGATGGGTGAACTGAGGTTATGATTCGATTATCCGCGTATTCATGTGAAGGATATGGGAATGGTTTTGGGCTGTTTTCCATTTCGCCCCTACAACATTGAAAGCTTTTAGTCCCCAAAGGGTCCAAGTACCTAAAGGATTTAGGGCGTAGGGTTTGGGGCTTTAAGCCTAAACCTTAAACCTTAATTTAGGTACCCGAAACCATTCAGAGTCCTGGACCGTTTGGGGGCTTGCGACACAAAACTTCTGACTTCCAGGTTTTGGGGCTCCTGGCGCCTGTGGCAGCTCGCCAGCAAAGGAATTTGTGTCTAAAAGGAACCCGTCTTAGAGAATGGAAAAGAAAATAGGAACTGCTTAAAGCACAAGAGACGAATAAGTTTCGGTTTAGGGTTTGGCAGGTAGGATGACATTTTTTTTCTTTACTGTGGTTTCCATGTGAGGATTATGTAGGTGAATGGCAAAGAAATTGGAAACTGCTATTTCGGGTTTAGGGTTTGGGGAGTCGAGAAGAAATATGGAAGCTACTATAATGGAGAATCGAATGGAACAGAACATGGGCATTGCTTTCAAGCCAGTGCTACATGCAGTAGGATTCGTAATCGGCTTTACGGTGAGTGTATTATACAGGGTTCCTTGTTCATATTGGGGAGGGCATATGTGGTAGTTTCCCAAAATAAGGGGACCCCAATCTAGACCCCAATTTTGCACAATCCCTCTTATGTGGACCCCAAAAGGGTACCCCTAACCGTGAGAAAGCCAGTTGGGGAAACCTTCATTAAAATCCTGCCATATCTTCAGCCTCCACAAGAGCTACAGCCAATATTGCCCCATATGATTAGTGCAGATGGGTTCCTTATTGCTCAGGATCTTAGGCCTGGCTAGGGGTATATTAGCGCTTTTGTTGGGGTTCTGCAGGCACGGTTCTTGTATGCTGGCTGACTGGCCGACCTTCTGACTGGCCGACCTTAATTGAATTTGCTTCGTATCAGTGAGCGCCTTCTTGGGCAATGACGTACCCAAAATGGTTTGTTTGTAGCGCATGCCCCGGGCATGGCTTCATCTCAGATTTTGGAAGTTAATGGTTTATGCAGCGTCTTCAATGTGAAGCCCTGAAAGACGGTGGATAGGCAAAATAGTGCATGACCTTGAGTACTTTATACCTGGCAATGGGAATAATGGTATTATAGTACATGAAGGTCATGGAGGGTTTTCAGCATCACAAGCCCTAAACCTTAAACCTTATACCGTGGATGAATGAGGCCGCGGTTTCAATTCAGTGCTTCCGTGGTGCGGATCCCAGCAGGGAAGTCTAGGCTCGGACGTTATGATTAGGGTTTAGGGTTTAGGGATATGTTATGGTATATTATGGTTATATTGAGGTTATATAAGGGTTATTTTGGGAAGATGGAAAATAAGATGGAAACTACCATTTAGGGTTTAGGGTTCAGGGTTTAGGGGTTTGGGGATCAGGGTTTAGGGTAAATATATCCGCATATGTTCAATGAGCGACATATGTATTAATCATCTAAAATCATGATGTATCCAACCAATCCCAAACCTTCATGTTAAATTGCGACAGAATCACGAGGACGCTTAGCATTGCTGCAAGAGAGGGTTTTGCATATTGTGGAGGGATGGGATGCCGTACTTAGGCGGAGGCCTTGAAGGTATTCCATCATCATAATCCTCTGACTTCGGGGTGTAAACACCCCTGCGAGATGTAGTCCGTGAACAGTGTCGTGGGAATTTGCTAGTAGAATCGAGAACCCCCTCGCATCTTCGGGGAATTTGTCCAGTGAGCCAGTGAGGTCGCCGCCAAAGCTCAGCCCCGGCCACGTCTTCTGCCGCCTTGGGTTTAGCCCTGCTGCTCGGGCTGCACATGGGGGAGGCCCATACTATACTGGATGGACGAAATCCTGCAGCATCCTGCATAAGGGACCCTGAACCGTGGACATGGGGGTCCCTCTTGTAGTTAGGTATAGTCCCGAGCAAAGTCCGCAACAAGGAACCCATGTCCGGTAAATGAAACAGGAAATATTGACTGTAGCTCTTGCGAAGAGTGAACTAACTGGCACTTTGAGCCCCAGTATCAAGGACCATACTATTTCGGGGGTGTAGGACGTTAGGTTCTGCACATACAGGCTGGTGTTTGTCGTGCCGGACTAATATACTGAGATTGCCCTTAGCTCGTTCGAGTTCTTCAACCGAACAATGCTTCCTCACAAAATTCCACTTGCCTCCCCCAGAGACGTGTACAGCTCAAGCGTGCCCATAGCAAAATGCAACTTGGGCGAACATGTTGCCCGTTTACCTACATGTTTACGATGTTTCCAAGCGCGATACTGTCAAGATCCTGAATGCCGTCTTGGCCCACTGGTGGGCCCCTGTCAAGCTTGGCGGGGTTTTTGCACGTAGCAATTGAGATAAACGGTGCCTGGATTGCTCTTAACTTAAATAGATTTATCATTTTATGGGTATATGGCGAATAATAGGAATAGGGTTTCCTTAGTTTAGTAACTTAATTTAATTGTAAACGCTAGCGCGCGCCCGCCTCGGCTGGCGGGGCTTCCCACGGTAGGAACATGTAAGTATAGATATACAGGTATTTAAGT